AAATCCTTGCCCATTCTTCTTTGCAAAACAGCTCCACAACTGCCCTGTGACAGCCTCAGAGGTTGTCTAAGAGAATATTGGAAGCAACAACACCATGAAGTCCTTGAAGACTTCATGGTGTTGTTGCTTTCAGATATGTATGATTTTGACAAATATGTATGATTTTTGTTCCACTTCTCACGTGTGCACCACTTTGTGTTGGTCTTTCACGTGGAATTCCAATAAAATTGATTCATGTTTGTGGCTGTAATGTGTCAAAATGTGGAAAAGTTCAAGGGGGCCGAATACTTTTGCAAGCCACTGTATGTTTCACTTCATATTTTTCCCTGGTCATACATGCCCCGGTGCATCCTTCAGAGTGTGCATGATGGAGAAAAATGTGTGAATGCAGCTTGTAGTTAGTCCTCAGAAGTACTAAGAGAAAAAGCTTACACTAAGTAGCAGTCTTCTTGCTCTGGTTTGGGAACACACTGTGAACTATATGGGAAAAAAACTGGCACAATGCCACCAACAATACGTAACCACATGTGAATACATGGATGTTAATCTGCAAAGGGATGAAAGCTGCTGGTGCTAGCATCGCTAAAGTATCCCCACTTATGCTAGAGTCACACTAGTTAAAACAGTGACTGGAGATTGCAGCGCCACCAAAATTACGGCAACCATGTGCAGTGAATTTGCAGCCTTGTTGTCTTTGAAACTGTTGTTTTTAAGACGAGGATCAACTCTGCAACCACTCGCTGTCAGCTGCCCTCCTCAGAATGACTTTGATGCGCCCAGACGCCCTTAAAATGGCAGTATAAGAGAGTTCATTGCTATCAGTCTGGGATTAAATGGGGTCAAGCTGGCATTAAAAGCAATCTGCTTGTGATAATACAGCAGCTATGTGTGATAAATCAGCGAAACTGCAAATCTATTGCTTTCTGTATGCACATAAATTCACATTAAACAGAAATTCACGTCATGTGCTTACATTCAGAGTCCAGCCAGATTTTCATAGATTTCAAATATAAATTCCTCCACAAATAGTTGCTGCCAAAATTGCATAAGCACTCAGGAACCTTATAATATATATGAATATACCCAGACTGCAACCAGCTGGCAGACAATTAATCTGAATTCCCTATTTAAAAGAGACGCAATGCAAAAACCTTGTGCTCATCGGCACAGACTCGTTGGCAGTTTGTCTGTATTTGCAAATTCAACTGCAATTATTTGCTAACCTTCACCATTCTGAGTGACTTCAGTCAGCCTGAGTCACATGGGGGTTGTTTGAAGACAGGTTGAATACCACCAGGCACCCTATGCAATCACATTGTGATTAAAAGTGTTATGTAGGTGTTGCAACCACATAAAGAGAAAAAACATTAATTGTAGTCACCACATAACCACCAGCCTTTACTAGTCACAAGGATGTTGCCATCCTATTTTTATTCTAGCGTGACTGAGCCAATAAAAGTGAATGTGATCTTGTGTGTTTGCAGTGTTATGTATGCATATTTCAACAGCATATGAAAAAAGATTTGACTATTGAAGCATATTTTAAATGGTTATAAATGGCTATATACATATACATGTATGTATGTATGTAT